CAGCAGCGCCACAAGCGAGGGCTGCAGGAAAGGCCGGGCCTTCCTGTCACAGAAGCAGGTGTCCCAGCTCTTACAGGCCATGCTGGCCAGAGGGAGACAACACTTTCTCCAGCCAGACTGCCTGTACCTTAGTATGGTGTTCCTGCTCTGAACTTATGTGCACGTCTGTATCCCATCTGTCTGACAAGTCACAAAATAAATTGAAATTCATACAATTATCATTTCTATTTATGTAGGACCCTTATTTTAAAAGTAATTTTGTAGTAATTTGAGCTCTTGAAAAAAAAGTCATGAATTATAAACTATATGTTTGATATGTTATGTGTTTGATCGGCCACTTAAATTCCCTTTTCTAAGCCCATCTGGAACACAAGCCCAAACAGATAATTAAGCTTTAATTAATGTGCTCAGCTAAAGGTTGGAGGTTCAAGTCCACCCTGTGGTGCCTTAGAAGAAAGACTTGCCAATCTACTCCAGAAGAATCAGCTATTGAGAACTGGATGAAACCCAGCTCCACTTTGACATACACCAGTTGCCATGAATCAGAATCAGCTTGATAGAACTGTGTGTGTGCGCGCGCCAATATGCCCACATTGATAGGTAGATGGGCAAGAAAGTAATAGATTGAAACATGAATAAATAAATGAGTACCTAACATAGGTGAGTGATAAAACCCAACACCTGTAATTGAGTTGATTCAGACTCCTTCGGTTTCTGAAGCGGTACATCGTTACAGGAGTAGGTAACCTCATCTTTCTCCCAAGTTGGTTTGAACTTCTGCCCTTGCAAGGAGCAGCCCAAGGCCTTACAAGCAGCAGCACCAGGCCTCTAGGTGGATGGTAGACACATAAGCAGTCATTTTCTTCACAAAGTGGGAGGTCATTTGATTTGGATAGAAACAACAATCAACAGAGCTTGGCCTTCAAAATAACTGTGGGTATAATCCCCCTCGAAAGTTAGAATATCTTTATATGCCAAACATTTATTTTTTTTCCAGTCTCAGAGCCTTTATACATATCTCATTCTTCCCTTCGGGGTGCTTCTAAGTCCAGGCACTCAGGGAGATAATTCAAAGGTTATTTATATTTGTTCTGCGTTGTCTTTTATTTGCATTCTTTGCCAGTGTTGTTCAGACAGATAGTAAAATGAGTTTGTTTTTGGTGGACACACATCAAGGCCTGGAGTAGAGATGAAGTAAGTCTGACCACACTGCGCACTGGGAAATGGAGGGGAGCCAGAGTGAGGTTGTAAAACTCTGCAGTTCCCATCTAAGGCAGTGGTCAGCCCAGCCCCCATGAGGAGGAGATGACTGTTTCCCTGTTACTGAGTTCACAGAGATGGGCAGAGTGTTAGTCTGGGTTGACTAGAGAAACAAATCCTGAGACACCCATGTGTGTGTAAGAGAGATTTATATCAAAGAGTAATTGTATATTTAGAAAACATCTCTGGCCAGTTCATAAGTCTGATATTAGCCCATATGTCCGATACCAGACTATAAATTCCTCTTCAGATTCACACAACATATGCAATGATGGCAAATGCAGGAAGATCACAGGTCAGAGGGTGGACAGTCTTGTGGATCCAGTGGTGGTGGAAGCATCTCAGCGCTGGCAGGGGTCTCCACGTGACTCCTCTAGCTCCAGGGCTTTAGCTGCCATCAGCATAGCTCCAAGTGGCTTGTCAATGGGAATGTGTAACAGAGAGACTGTGCATCCCACCTCCAGGGAGGAAGACAAGAGTTCCCAGAAGGCCATGCCCACACAGAGGCCTCATTGGCTGTGACCTAATTAGCAGAACAGACTCCACCCCTTCGCTCAAGTTGACAGGAGATGATGTAAGTGCCAGGGCAAGGACATAGGGAAGAATTGAGCAGTCAGCTGGACAGCCCCTTGAGACTGAGTCGTTCCGGGACAGGAGCCTCATTCCCTACTCTTTGATACTTTTGTGACTCTAATATGTTGCACAGTGTGCAGCACTTGATACGTACTGAATAAGATTGAATGAAATCATTAGTTAATGGGTAAGAACATTTCTCTGCAGTATTCCAGTCCCCAAGTAAAGCACTGAGGTGACGTCTGAAATGTGTCCCCCTTGGAACATTGTAGACTAGGATTGTGCAGAAAAAAGATAGTAAGTTTGTAAGTCAAACTCCAGGAGAAGACCTGCCCCCTTGCCTGGCATAATTTTTTTTAACCATTTTATTGGGGGCTCTTACAGCTCTTATCACAATCCATACATGCATCCATTGTGTCAAGCACATTTGTACTATGTTGCCATCATCATTTTCAACATTTTCTGTCTACTTGAACCCTTGATATCAGCTCCTCGTTTTTCCCCTCCTCCACCCTCCCTCCCTCATGAACCCTTGATAGTTTATAAAGTTTTCCCCCCATGGCTTACATCAACCTCTGTCTCCTTTCACCCACTTTTCTGTTGTCCATCCCCCAGGGAGGAGGTTATATGTAGATCAATGTGATCGACTCTCCCTTTCTCCCCCCGCCTTCTCCTTACCCTCCTGGTATCTCTATTCTCATTATTAGTCCTGAGGGGTTCATCTGTCCTGGATTCCCTGTGTTTCAAGCTTTTATCTGTAACAGTGTACAGATATGGTCTACTCAGATTTGTAAGGTAAAATTGAAGTCATGACAGTGAGGGGGTTGGGGAGCATTTAAGAACTAGAGGAAAGTTGTATATTTCATCAGTGCAATACTGCACCCTAACTGGCTCATCTCTTCCTTGTGACCCTTCTGTAAGGGGGTGTTCAGTTGTCTACAGATGTTCCCCATCATTCACATTAATATGATTTTTTTGTTCTGGGTCTTTGAAGCCTAATACCTGATCCCATGTGGACACCTCATGATCACACAGGCTGGTTTTCTTCTTCCATGTGGGCTTTGTTGCTTCTCAGCTAGGTGACCACTTGCTTATCTTCAAGCCTTTAAGACTCCAGATGCTATATGTTTTGATAGCAGGGTACCATCAGCTTTCTTTACCATGTTTGCTTATGTACCCATTTTGTCTTCAGCAATCGTATTGGGAAGGTGAGTATCACAGAATGCCAGATTATTAGAACAAAGTGTTTTTGTGTTGAGGGAGTAACAACTCTGGAGGAGAAAAAAATGGGACCAACAGTTCTGGGGGGAAATGGGAAAGGAGGAGGCAGGGGAAAGGTAGTGGGGAGCCAACAAACCCAGGCACAAAGGAACAACAAGTGATCTAAAATTGATGGCAAGAAGGGCGTAGGATGCCTGGTGAGGCTTAATCAAGGGCAATGAAACCCAAATGAAGGCTGAACATGATAGTGGGACAAGAGGAAAATAAAAGGAAATAGAGGAAAGAACTAGGAGGCAACATATATTTATAGAAGTCTAAATACTGTCAGACTTTAACTCTTCCCCTCATTGGAGCAGAAGGTCAAGTAGAACAACCAGGTAACCCAGCAGAACCTTGACCCCAGCCCTATGAGGGCCACTCATGTATCATGACACTAGTCTTCCTCCCTACCTGTGAGTTGCTGTCCAAGCCTTTTGGCTCTAGTTGTATGGTGTGGTCATATAGTGCCAGCCTTTCCTCTGCCAGTCTGTGTGTTTGAGAAGCACCATCTTCTCCTCTGGTATGAGGAGAGGGAGGGCTGAGCCCTACCTTTGAAGATGACCAGGATTATTCAGCGGAAGCACAGGCTTGGGCAATAGCCAGGAAATCCATTGAACTGTGTGAGAGGTTCCCTTTTCTGGAAGTCTAGCCTGCCAAGTATCCCCTGTGAACACAGTAACCCTTGGTTCACAGCGGTTGTTGGAGATACAAGTTAACTTCAGCTCGTGGCCTGCCTCTTCCCCGGGAATTGCTGGAGAGGCTTCCTAGCAAGTGTCCCTTTATCTCATGCCTATGCAAGTTGTAAAACGCTTGTTACCTTGGGCCTTACACTCTTCCCATTCTCAACCAGGACAACCCATTCAGGTCTCCTAGAGCGCACCAGGTCCCAGGGTCCTAAATGCCCTGAGTCCCCATACCTCTTCTCCATATGGGCTGGTCACCTGTCTTAAAAAATCCCCCAATGTTTTGGCTCTTCCTGATTCTGGGCCTTTCATAGAAATGTCACTCACAGAGAATACCTGTTGTTGTAGTTGCGTGCAGTCATGTTGGTCCTGGCTACAGAGACCTATGTACAAAACACCAAACCCTGCCCTGTCCTTTGCAGTCCTCACCATCATTGCTGTATTTGAGCTCATTGATACAGCCACAGAGTCAGTGCATCTCATTGATGGTCTTTCAGGTCCAGGTAAGGGACAGATGCTTTTAAATGCCGACTGAATCACACCACTATCATACCACCATAAATCAAAGATCATGCCGATGGCACGAGAGTGGGCAGTGTTTGGTTCTCTTATATAGTAAGGTCACCACGAGTAGGAACCAAGTCTCTGGAAACTCACAAGGATAGTACAGCAGTCATTCCACATGGCACCTTCTCCTTGCATCCAAGTCTCCTTCAGAATTCAGGGTTGGGTGGCTGCACGGTTATGATGCTTGGATCCCATATGTCAAAAATGAATCAAAACACAATTATATTAAAGTATATCATTTATCAGACCAGTTAATCCACATGACTATGAGGACACCATTCAGCTTCTGAAAAAGTAATTGACTCAAAACAAATGAGCTATAATCAAGATTTTAATGAGGAGGAAACAGAACTGAAAATTAACTTTTAGCTCATTTGAATGTGATTGACTGACCCATGCCCCTCTTCCCAAGATCATCTGCTATCCAATGACTAGGCGGTCTCTGACCTGGCTGGTTTGTGCATTCATTTGCACAAATCTCCAGACCTAGTTGGAGGTTTCTAAATAATAAAGATAGCTTAATTATTCAGGGAATTTTCAAGAGTTATCTTTCAGAAAGCAAAGGAACCATGGAAGGTTTATGTCTTTTGGTAAACTTGGAGCTATTTTTTTGGTTAACAGATGCCTGGTTCACCAAGGAGAATCCACTAACCTGCCTGGTCATCATGTCTCCACATTCTTTTTTACCTGCCCTGGCGTACATTTTATAGTTCTCAGTGATCTTGGTGAGTTTTCTGTGTCCATTTGGGCCTCAGTTTCTTTCTTTGACACACTATGATTCTGAAGAGCATTAGGGTTGATTTGAACTTACGGTCAGAGACCTGGGAAGAGGATCAAAAGTGCTCAAGATGGACAGACAGTGGGGAGGATGATGGAAGGAAAGAAGCGGGTTGAAGGCAAAGAAGGAAACTGAAAGCCAGCGTGGGAAAGTAAGCCGGAGCAGTCCGTTTGCAGTTGTTATACGTGTCTATCTTTGCCGAGACAAGTGGAGGGTACGAAAGTTAAGCGAGCAATTAGTAGCTGAAAGGTTGGTGGTTCAACTACAGTCGGTGGTGCCTTGAAAGGCGAGCCTAGCCATCTGCTTCCTAATGATCATAAACTTGAACCCCCATGGAGCAGTTCCACTCTGTTGTGCGAATGGCCTGGTGGAGTCACCTGACCTCTTCCAAGGTCACCAAAGGGGAGAAGGGGTCAAAATTACCAGCCACTGATGTGATGGTCAGAGATGCCTCCACCCTCCATCCAACCTTTTCACCAGCTCTGACTTTGACCTGATGGCATGCTCTAGTTCTCTGCCGGATTTGAAAATTCCTTGCAATGGCCACATAGCACTCACAGATGAAGTTCAAGACTATCAGGTGTACAAGGGGAGTGCAGGTGATAATGCAGGATCAAAAATGGCTCGGAATACAGTTCTTTGGTCAGGACAGCTTCTTCTCAGCCATGCCTCTCTCTGGCCCTCAGCAACTTGGCCGCTTTCTGCCTGTTAGCTCTGCCTTTAAGTGCATAGAGGTGCTCCACTCTGGTAGTAAACATACCACTCCACCAGAAAACCTGCTTTAAAGCTCTGAACTTCCTGGCTCTGTGGGTTGAGAAGCCCACCACTCTCTCTCATGCTACTCTCTTGCTTCTGCTGCCACTGTTTTTCTGCTGCGGCCTCTCACCATCTCTAGTGTCACTACTCTCTGGCCCCAGGAATGAGGGCGCTCTGCTGGAGTGGTGGTTATGCTTTGGGCTCTCAATTGCAAGGTCAGCAGTTCAAAAACACCAGCCAATCCACAGGAGAAACGTAAGACTCTATGCTCCCTTAAAAACCAACAGTCTTTAAACCCACAGAGGCAATTCTGTTCTGTGCTAAAGGGTGACCAGAGTCAGACAGGACACGAGGGGGTGGTGGTGTTTGTTTATTTTTTAATGCTGATCCAGAGTCCAAAGGGCACAATCTATTCCTGGTTTATCTTTCTTGGTGCTCATGTGAGACACACACACACACACACACACACACACACACACACACACACACTCTCTTCCTCTGAAATGACTCATGTTAAGTGTAGCAGGAGGACAAAGCTGGAGCATCCCTTCGTCAGGGTTCCATACATCTTATTTGTGTGAGCCCACCTCCACAAGGATGCTGGACAACTCACTGTCATTATTAGCAAGCTACCCAGGCCACCTGGTAAGCCACAAACAAGCCTCACACGTGCGTGCGCAGCACCTCCTAGTCATTTGATGGCACTTAGAAAGACAGCTGGACGGGCCATAGTAAGGAATCCCCAGCATCGGCACCCGCGGGGTCACAGGGTGGGAATTGACTCTGCAGCAACGAAAATGACAACCTCTTTGCCTTGGCTTTCCATTGAAGCTGGAGTGGCATCCCAGTCATGCTTAAATCCGCTATAGTTCCTGGCACAATTCACAAGCCATTTGTTGAATGGAACAAACTGGAAGACTAAAGTGGAATGTGTTAATGAGCTCAGCGGAGCGGATCATGGCAGCGCTCTCCCAATCCGGAGGGCACTGCATCTGGTTAGCTTCTTTGTTTTTCAAACGAACAAAAGAAAGACTGAAGGAAAGTCATAAAAACAGTAAGGACTTCTTGGGAAAATGTCCCCTTGACATCCAGGTGCTGTTAGATCTCTCTGGAGCTAGATATACCTCGGTCCTTGGCTCC